GCAACGACTGAATTAGTTGACTACTTCGGAATCGCAGCGCCGACGTCAGGGAGAGTTAACGCGAGAGCCGATTGAACTGTCACGGGCGAAAGAGACGTCCGAGGAGCGAGCGAGAGGGCAGCTGGGCGCAAGTGGCTGGCGGCGTGTGTGCGAGCGGGAGGGCGAGACGGTGAGTGAGTGAGTGACAGCAGTTTGGTGACAGTGACGTGAGGAGATGAGAGTGGAAGATGTGCCGTATGCCTGCACTGATCGATTTTCGCTCTCTCTTAGCCTTGTCACCTGCCTGTGCGAACCGGTTTCGCCAGCTCACTCACTCCTTCCCAGTCGCCGCTCTCTCTCTTTCACTCCCACTCGCTCTCTCTCTCCTGCCAATTTAGCGCGGGGGGCTTGTTAGGCGGCAATATGACTTTATTATGCGCATGCTGGAGCTGTCAGTCGGTTGACAACTGTGTCCCCAGCGAACTGCGCAGGCGCAAGCTCTCCCTCTCTCATGGGGCGTTACCAACTGGGGGCCATATAGCCGCACTGGTCACTCCAACGCCAGGCAAGCCAGGAAAATGGCTGCCTTTTCCACGAGGGGGAGAGCCGTGATGCCGTCTCTTTCCCCAGACACTTTTCATAAGCATTTAGTTTTTGTTGATTTTGTTTTTGGCCGCGACGTTTCAATCTGCGTTTTCTACAGCCTACAACTTTATCGACACCACCTTTCCGCTGGGTGCAGAGGGGAACGAAAGGGAGGGAGAGGGAAACCGCAAAGCTAATTGTTTTAATTTAAATGGGGGAACTTTGGATCACCCCCACCCCCGCTAGAATCATTTGCGATTTTTCACAAAAACACGCTAAATACGCAATGACAATCTATTTCGGGGGCCCTCCAATTAACCAGTTAAATGTGGCTTGAAAAACAGCTGACGCAATTGATTGATATTTAATTGACTTTTAATTTATTTATTTGCCCATCGAATATCGATTTGCCAGACAAACGAGAAAAAAACCATCGCTAACTGTCAAAATAAACTTCAGAAGGTGTTAAAAACGAACGCCATTTGGCATTGGACATTAACAATAGAGCTTTTTTGGGGGCTCTAATCAAGCGAAGATCTACAAATGTGAAACATGTGCTGCAAATAGTGTAGAGATGAGGGAATCCGAACCCATAGCCACTGATATATGGCACATAAATCAACGAATCTGTTCGAGCTGAATAAAACCGAAATCAAATAACGAAATCGCTAATGAATTGCCTTATGGCCAGCGGTATTTGTTGTGTTAATTTTTGCATAATAAAGGCGATCGATGCCATGTGGGCCTCTGATTTATGGGGCAAAGGATTTAATTAGAGAGTAATCTTGCCACCACTCCCACCTATTTCCTGTTGCCAATTGTGACATAAGCATTACCGGCCAATAAACTAACGCCCAGACAATAAGCCATAATCCATATTTAGAGCACATTTTGTGGGTAACCTGTTCCCCAATCAATGGGCCCAAATTTATGCAATTTTTATGCGCATTTTTATTAGTATCAAATGGACTTGAAGCGAATATAAATTAATAAATATTTTAACAGCGCATATCCATGAATTGAAATGCCGTTGCGAGGCGCTAACCGTTTCGGTTCGGTCTTAACCGGTTCGAACGCACCTTCCAGTCTGCGGTCAGCCATTAAAAGTCGAAGTTGGAAAAACTGGAAACTGGAAGAGTGCCCGCTCTTTTTCCCCTTCGAATTTCGAACTCAGGACAGACGGTTGTCTCGCTCCCGCCCCGTATTGCCTCTCGCTCACTCTGCCCTGTTCTCTCACGCATGACAACAATGGCTGCTGCCTCTCTCTCGCACTCCCCCTCTCCCGCACTATCTCTCCCTCTCTCGCCCACTGTGTTGTTGCCGTCGGCAGCTGTTGATTTTTCCGCTCAACTGCCACCCTTCCATTCCATTCCACACTTTCCGCTTTGATTGCCATGATTTTCAATTATTACCGTTGTCGTGTTTGCTCAGCGTTTGGCCACAAAAAGGGTTAAACTGCCGCCGACAGTTGCGTAAAAATGCGTTAATTAAAGTTTTCAACTTGTTTCTGATGTTTCTGATGCTGCTGCTTCTGCTGTTGTTGCTTTCCCGTTTGCCCTTAATGATAATGATGCGTATGTTTGGATAAAATGGTAACTGCTAATGAGCTTTGCCTTTCCACCACTTTGGCTACTGTTTCTGTTTCTGTTTCGGTTACTTTTCGACCTCTAATGGCTTTTTCCCAGCTGCGTTGCTGCAGGCCAAACAAAAGACTCGAACAACGAACTTGTCAGAGTGCCAAAACACACCGAAAAGCTCATTACGATACATGGATTTTTTATTTCTATATCATTTGCATTTTTATTTAATTTATGTATCTGTGATCTTATCAATGGAATTCGAAATATTAAAAAATTATTCAATACAATATTTAAGAGAACTCAATCTGAATAAATTATTTTAAGACCAAATAAAAAACTTTTATTTTTAAAATTTATTATCGAACAAATATATTTTAACCAAAACCAATACATTTACCATTTTATGTTAACAAAAACAAAAATAAAAATCATTAAACCATTTATAAAGAAAACGGCAGTCTGAAAGTTGTGATACAAGTGATCACGGAGTAATGGGAATATTTTACAGATATAATTATCTCGAAAAGTGGCTTGTTAATAAAATCCCAGTTGCATAAGGGTCTCAATCGCAGGCTACAACTCAATTGTCAAACTGGAATCGAAATTAAAACTGAAACGAAAACTGGTCGAAATTAAATGAACGCCTTGTAGGGCTCCAAGACTCAAGATCCCCCATCTCCTCGCCCAAGACCCAATAATTTCTCTTCGCTTTAACAACTGAAACTGGAAATGGGAACTGAAACGGGAAACTGAAACTGAGGCAGGGTAATTTAAAATTCATATTTTACGCAGCCAAATGCGTAAATCCGTCCGCTGCGCTGAGTGCCGGCGAGTGGCGATCGGGAGTTATTAATGGCCACACATGCGAGTCATAATATACTCGTACGTACACACGAATCCGACTTTTTGTTTCCCCTCTCCCCTTTGGGACAAATGAGAGGTCCGTCGGTCCGTCATTTGCATACCCTACCAATCCGGAGAGGTGCTCTTCTTCTGGGAACTATTCGGATATAGAGTTACCAAACGTAATTGGAACCGGCGATCAGCCGCAGTGATATGCCGAAAGTAACACAGGACTTAATGAGGAAAGTGCGCCACTTAGGAAGATAAAAGGTTTCCGTGTGATATTCGATATGGTCAGCATGATTTATTTGGGGTACACAAAAGTTATCTAGATAGAGATTAGTGCGTGAATTATTACTTCTTCTCTGGGTGGTGATTTATTAGTTAATATTAGCCTAGAATTAACGGAAGTTTTCTTTTCGTAATATTTATTTTTTTTTTTTTATTTTTTTTTTTTTTTTTTTTTAAAAAAAAAAAAAAAAAAAAAAAAAAAAAAAAATAAAATTTTTTAAAAAAAATTTTTTTTTTTTTTTTTTTTTTTTTTTTTTTTTTTTTTTTTTTTTTTTTTTTTTTTTTTTTTTTTATTTTTTTTTTTTTTTTTATTAATTAATTATAATTTTTTTTTTTTTTTTTTTAAATAAATAAAAAAATTAAAATTTTTTTTTTTTTTTTTTTTTAAAAAAAAAATATTAAAAAAAAAAAAAAAAAAAAAAAAAAAATAATTTTTTTTTTATATTTTTTTTTTTTTTTTTTTTTTTTTTAAAATTTTTTTTTTGGGGGGGGTTTTTTTTTTTTTTTTTTTTTTTTTTTTTTTTTTTTTTTTTTTTTTTTTTTTTTTTTTTTTTTTTTTTTTTTTTTTTTTTTTTTTTTTTTTTTTTTTTTTTTTTTTTTTTTTGGGTTTTTTTTTTTTTTTTTTTTTTTTTTTTTTTTTTTTTTTTTTTTTTTTTTTTTTTTTTTTTTTTTTTTTTTTTTTTTTTTTTTTTTTTTTTTTTTTTTATTTTTTTTTTTTTTTAATTTTTTTTAAAAAATTTTTTTTTTTTTTTTTTTTTTTTTTTTTTTTTTTTTTTTTTTTTTTTTTTAAAATTTTTTAAAAATTTATTTTTTTTTTTTTTTTTTTTTTTTTTTTTTTTTTTTTTTTTTTTTTTTTTTTTTTTTTTTTTTTTTTTTTTTTTTTTTTTTTTTTTTTTTTTTTTTTTTTTTTTTTTTTTTTTTTTTTTTTTTTTTTTTTTTTTTTTTTTTTTTTTTTTTTTTTTTTTTTTTTTTTTTTTTTTTTTTTTTTTTTTTTTTTTTTTTTTTTTTTTTTTTTTTTTTTTTTTTTTTTTTTTTTTTTTTTTTTTTTTTTTTTTTTTTTTTTTATTTTTTTTTTTTTTTTTTTTTTTTTTTTTTTTTTTTTTTTTTTTTTTTTTTTTATATTTTTTTTTTTTTTTTTTTTTTTTTTTTTTTTTTTTTTTTTTTTTTTTTTAAAAAAAAAAAAAAATAAAAATATTTTTTTTTTATTTTAATTAAATTATTTTTATTTTTATAAAATAATATTTTTTTTTTTTTTTTTTAAAAATATTTTTTTTTTAAAAATTTTTTTTTTTTTTTTTTATTTTTTTTTTTTTTTTTTTTTTTTTTTTTTTTTTTTTTAATATTTTTTTTTTTTTTTTTTTTTTTTTTTTTTTTTTTATTTTATTTTTTTTTTAAAAACTTTAAAATTTTGGTGGTTTTTTTTTTTTTTTGGGGGGTTGGGGGGTTTTTTTTTTGAGTGTATGATTTCTTGGAATATAATCTTAAAAACTTTAAAAACTGGAAAAACTTCAAAAATATTTCTGACAAATGCTGAAGATCATTTTAAAATGTTTATTAATTTAACGTTTAACTTTTATTAACTATAAACATTTTTTGTTAAATTAATATATATTTTTAATAATATTGTATAAAGGGTATATCGCCGTTCGTTACATTGTGTTTCCTCAAGCTTTGAGGGCTGGCTTTAATTAAAATTTAACTCTGTTCGTAAATCGTTTGTCA